CCAACTTGTGTATTTTCATTACCTTTTGGGTTGTTTTTTGGAAATCACAGCATGTTGTGATATGTAATAATGTAGCTTCAGTGGGAGAATGTTGTACAAAAGATAGGTTTTCATAGTTGGGGGCAGTTCAGGACCAATTAAAAGCACTACAAAGTGTCTTCAATGTGACCCTGAAGTTCTGGGTTGGGATGGAACTGATTCATCACCTATCTGCAGTGTCTAGGATATACAGCTTGATAGATTAATTTGGCCAGCTGCCTCTCCAGCTGCCTGCCATAGTCTAGGCTACACGAGTCTGCCATTCATTTTGTTTTTCTAATATGTGTAGTTAGACTAATTTCTCTGACATTGCTGTACATTTCACTGAAAAGACTTCTGGGGCAATGAAAAAATAAAAATTTCTTTAATGAGTCTGTTTCTTCCTTCTAGACTGGCAGTACAAGGCACTGGGCATCTGTCAGGAGAGAGGTACTGAAAAGGGGTAAATGGCACAAAAAGAGGAGGGAGTCCCTTGTACAAACTTTGAATAACTTCCTGGTTTTACTTGGAGCCATCCAGCTAACTTTAGCCCTTGATTCCTGACTGCTTTGCATTATTTTTTGCCTAGTTGCTTTAGTTATAGTCCCCAGACAGACTCTGAGTCCTTGGAAGGCAGTTACCAGGGTTTATCTTCTTATCTTGTTTCTCCCATAGTGTCTAGCACATGACTGGGCACAAGGTAGGGACTCAGTAGAGATTTAGTGATGAATTGGAATGGATTGAGAAGCTACAGATAAGAGGTCAGTTTGAAGGTTACACTGGTACCCCTGAGACTAGCCAGTTGTCCATACCTGGCATCAGGGCCCGGAACATCTTCCTCCAGACCTGGAATTTGAAGTCATCAGAGATAATGGGCAGCTGGATGTCCAATCTAGCAGCTGGGGGTGACTCTGCCAGGATCTTCTGCAGCCTGGGGAGATGCCGAGAGTAGAGGGAAATGGAGTGTGCACAATTGGAGTTTGCAGAGGCTAAGCTAAGGCCCTGAGCTTTCCAGGCATGGAAGGGGATGGCCAAGGACCAGAAGATAAATGCCACATTTTACTGACATTGTAAGAGAAGTAGCAGTAAGCATGGGACTGGATATGCTGAATGCTCCAGAAGCCCAGGTAAGTCAGGACAGGTAATCTAGGCAATATGATACAAGTGCTATCCAGCAAAGAAGATGCTGGAAAGGGACCCGGGTTTCAGAAGGAATTGTGTCAGAGTAAATTTAGCAGTTGGAACCTTACACATGTGTGTTGGGAAATGCAAGGAAAATGATGATCTTCCATGTGAAGGTGTCTATAGATATGTAAAAGTTGTGGAGTTCATACTGAGCAAAAGGCACTCTAAGTGTATTAAGGGGATTTCAATAAACTTCATCTGAAACTATATATATATATATATACATATATGTGTGTGTGTGTGTGTGTGTATGAAGGCAGGGAGTCCCCAGTGAGAGTGATGGAAGGGACTAGGTTTTTCAGGAAGTACAACCAGACCTTCTTGCCCTGGGTAAGCCTCACCTGCTGATCACCAGGCAGTATTTCTAGAGAGAGAGAATGAGAGAAAAGATACAGAAAGGTGAATTGGAAACCAAAAGACAGTAGGGAGGGAACAGGTAAAGGAAGGATGCGCTGATAAGATCTGTAAATACTGCTTTTCCTCTGACAGTCAAAGGTGAGGCAGAAGGGAGCTGGGCCAAGATCAGCAGGGCCCAGGAGAGAGATCCAAAGAGCTTAAGAAAATATGGGAGATCAAAAAGGGATTTATAGGATAATTGGAAGAAATTAAGACAGCTCAGTTGTAGGAGTAACAGTGAGGGACTTGATAGAGTCAGGAAACTTGGGATCATAATACTTCTGAGGAGGGACAGGGTCAAAAGAAAGAATAGAATAAATGGGAGGGCAGGATAGGATTAAGGGAAATAGAGTTAGTTTTTCACAACATGTCTACTAAGGAAGTGTTTTGCATAACTGCACATGTACAACCTATATTGAGTTGCTTGCCTTTTCAATGAGGGTGGGTGGGAGGGAGGAAGGGAGAAAATTTGGAACTCAAAGGTTTAAAAACACATGTTTTTAAAAAAAATGTTTTCACATGCAACTGGGAAATAAGAAATACAGGAAATGGGGTACAGAAGTCTATCCTGCTCTACAGGAAAATAGAAGTGGAAGGGGGATAAGAGAAGGGAAGGGGGAGAGATAGAAGAGAAGGCAGACCAGGGGAAGGGGTATTCAGAATGCATGCCATCTTGGGTGGGGGAGGGGTGAGAAATTTGGAACTCAAAAACTTGTGGAAGTGAATATTGAAAACTAAAAATAAATAAATTTATATTAAAAAAAAAAGAAACTTGGGATCAGTCCATTTCTGAAATTTAGTGCCTGGCACATAGTAAGCACTTAATAAATGCTTTTTCCCCCCATTCCTTTATTCATGCATTTATTCACTAGTTAAAAGTGCCAAGGCACTTCTCCACTTTGGGTCTCAGTTTCCCTATTTGTAAAATGAGGGAATTGTATTAAATAATGTCTAAGGTCCCTTCCAACTCTAACATTATATAAAGCTAGGATATTTTATGATTTTGAGGATCCAGAAGACTGAGGGGTTGGAAAATAGCTTATAAGAGAAGAAGGAGGGGAGGATCGGGGAAATTTGGGACAGCTCTCACCCTGAGGAATTCCGTTTGGGGCTGATCAGTGACTTCGTCCAACACCTTCTCCATCTGCTGAAGCTGATCAAGGTAGGAAGTGACAATTCTGCGTTCAGTCTTTAGGGCTGCCCCTGCCTCTTCGGTCACTCGCTCTGCCTCTTTGCTCAGTGAAGACTCCAGTGCTATCAGAAAGGCCCGTATCACACCAAGCTGATCCCCTACAGCCCGCTGGAACTTCCGTACTGTCTCCTGGGAGGTGAGGGATGGGAGAGGACAGTTGAGAAGGATGAGGCCCCCAGACTTCAGCTCTCTCCCCCAAATCCCAGGTACCAGGTGCTCCCTCCAGAATGCAAACCCTTCTCACACCATATATAGGTATCTGTCCCCCAGCCATCAGCTCACCTCTTTAGATGATTCCCTGGGAACCCCAGGTCTCCAAACTCTAAGCTCTCACTCACCTCCACCTCAGCCAGTTGCCGATCCAACAGGGCTACAGTCTTCTCTTTGCGCATGCAGGCCTCCTGTAGCTGCAGCCTCTGTTGTGGGAGCTGATTCTGTGGAAAGGGAAGAGAAGTGGGGATGCTCGGGGCAAAGAGAGGTATCATGAAAGGGAAGAGTGTCGGGAGACAGCAGGATAAGACCAAGGGGAATCATAGGTAATGATGGCACTACCTCCATTCTCCTTGAAAGGAAGGAGACACATATCCCGCCTTCAGCCCTTGTCCTCTGTTACACTGCTTCAATGCCTAGCTCAAAGCCCACCTCCTCCGTGAAGCCTTCTTGGTTGGCAGTGATTATTCCCTTGTGCTTTGTATCTCCATAGCACATGAGGAAGAACTGCAGCTTCAGAGGGCTGAACTCAGTTGACCAGGGACATAAAGCACTTGGATGGACCCAGGTCTTCTCATGCCAAGTCCAGCGCTCTTTCCTCAGCACCAAGCTCAATAACGGAATATGGGGAAATTATGCACTCTGACCACGAGAGGGCGCCCCCCCATAGGGTTTGGGACCAACTCGAGGATCTGGGAGGGGACCTGAGGGAGGGGACTTTGCCGTACCTCTCTCCTCACACATACCTACTTATACACAGCTTATATACTTATATAAGCCCTTATATACTGCTTCCTGTCTATAGCACCCAGCATTTACCTAACACCCCCGTGGTACTGAGAGTTACCCTTGCATAAGTGCCATGGGAACAATTTACTGGAAAGTCATGCCGGGACAGTAAATTTCTGAATCTTATTAGCACAGTATAGATCAACCAATAGATATCGATTACTTCCTCATCTTTATGCTTGCCCTCCCTTCCCCAAATTAATTGTCACCCTGCCACTCATGCCCAGTCCTATTCACTTCCCAGCCTAACCTTGATAGCTAAAGTAGAAACTGGGAGAAAGTTGGGCAGAGAAGTATGTCTGTGTGAGGAGAGAGGTGTGGCAAAATCCCCTCCCTCAGGTCCCCCTCACAGATTCCCAAGTTGGTCCCAAACCCTGTGGGGGGGCGCCCTCTCGTGGTCAGAGTGCATAATTTCCCCTTTTTCCGTTTCTGAGCTTGGTGCTGAGGAAACAGCTTTGACTAGGCATGAGAAGACCTGAGTCCACCCAAGTGTCTGGGCAAGTTAGTTCAGCCTTCTGAAGCTGTACTTCTTCCTCATGTATCATAGAGACCCTATTCGCACAAGCTTTTTGACAGAGCTGTTGGGAGGAAAGCGCTTCTGCTAGGTACAACATATAAAGGTGAGCTAAAGTTGGCATCATTCTTAAATAGCATGTGTTGATTACTGGCCATGCACTACGCCTGGTTCCCGTCTATGTTTTGAGGGGCACTATAATGAAGACTCATCCCGTCCTTAACCTCTTGAGAGTCAGGGTGTAGAACTGGACTGAGGAGATCAGCCAGTCTAGAAGCTCAGACTATGTGTGGGACATTGTGCTAAGTGCTAAAACATACCGAAAAGCGAAAAAAGTAAAAATAAAACATTCAAAGAAAGGCAAAAGATAGTCCCTGCTCACAAAGCGTTCACAACCGAAAGGACTCCAGGATGTTGAATTTAGAACCAGAGGACCTGATGCCACTTACTCTGTGTGACCTCAGGCACACAGTTTCCTCATCTGTAAAATGAGGACGCCGCACTAGACTCTGGGGTCCCTTCCATCTCTAAATCTTTGATCCTAAAGCTCCCACTTCCAAGCTCTCCTCCTTGAGCAGAGGAGGAGAGAGCTAGATCGAGACGGGGAAAGAAAAGAGGTGCGAGAGTAGGTAAACCCTCCCACTCTCCAAGGAGTGTCCGGAAGCCAAGTTGTCTAGAGCCCCATTCTAGAAATCTCCTGATCCCTTCCTCCCCTAGACCTCGGCATCCCCTTCCCTCACGCTGACGTTGTCTTCTTCTCACTCCTCCTCTTCCTCCTCCTCCTAGTTTCCCGGTCCTGGGGTGCCTTCCCGTGCACAGCAGACAAGGTTGCAGGCTGACCGTCTGACCACAAAGTCTGGGGAGGCATGCCTGGAGGCCGGGACCTCATCCTGACGGCTCTGGACAACCTGACCGAAGATGAGTTCAAGAGGTTCAAAAGCAAGTTGCTGACTGTGCCCCTGCGGGACGGCTTCAACCGCATTCCCCGGGGGATCTTGCAGAACCTGGACCGCTTGGACCTCACCGATAGGATCGTCAGTTACTACCTGGAGGACTACGGGACAAAGCTGACTGTGCAGGTGCTCCGGGACATCGGCATGCAGCAGGAGGCTGTGAGACTCCAGCAAGCAGCTTGATCTGGTGACGCTCCGGACCCAAGGCCTCCGTCTGTTCGCTATGCCCCCTATTCTTTTTGTGTCTGAGAACTGAGACTTTAACCTTGACCCATCCCGTGCCTTTCTCCTAACTAGAACCTGTGTCCTGACCCCAGGTTCCTGCCCCCAACCACCTGGCCCCCGCAGTTGCACTCCACTTCTGTTCCTCAAACCCTCCCCTAACACACCCAAGTTGGCTAGACAAGCCGTGCTGTGAGAAGTCCTCTAAGACCCAGAGGGAATTCCATCTTGAGGGGACTGAAGGATAATGAGTCACCTCCTTCACATTCCAGTCTCTCATTACAGCCTGAGGCTCAGCACTGACCGAGAGGAGCACGCTGGGAAGCTCCCATCAGGTAAGTAACGGGAAAAGTGGTGTGAAAAGGGCCTACTGTGTTCCTCGGGGCATAGCGTGGGAGATAGGAGAAAGAGGAAGACGAGTCCGGCCCTCTTCGGGGCTCACAGTAAGAGCTTAGACATCTACCTGGAGAACAATACCAAGGCGGCGCATTGGCCCTTGTGTGATTTTGGAAGGCAGGCTGTACTGGCCAGTGATGAGGTGATTCAAAACCGGAGGGAACAGTTCGGCAGATTAGCTGGATCCAATTAGGGAGGGTTCCTCGGGGAGGCAGAGCCCGGGTTAAGCTGCATGCATGCTGGGAGAATACCAGGAACAATGCACTTCCCTGAGCCTAATCTTACAGGAAGAGAAAGTTTCTTTGGGAGGAGTTGTATGTGGAACACACTTTAACAGGGAATGATAGTAACCACTGCCATTTACATAGCACTTCAAGTCTGCAAAACACCCCACTCACAACAATGCCATGAGTTAGGTAGTTCAACTGTAATTATCTCCATTTTATAGATAAAGAAACTGAGGCTTAAGGTCACACAGCTAGTGAGGATCTGAGGCAATATTTGGACCCAGGTTGTCCTAAGTTCAAGTCTAATGCTCTGTCTACTGTATTGGCCCCCAGAGAGGGCAGGGGCAGAATATGGAAGGCTTTAAAGGCCAGGCTAGATAAGCACGTTAGACTTTATTCTGGAGACAGTGGGGAGCCAGTAAAGGTTTTTAAACAGGCATTGCTATGTTGGCTCAAGGTGAGGGGAAGGAAAGGAGGGGAGCAGAATTTTGCAGATGGAAAACCTAGCTGAGATTTTTGCCATAGTTTAGGCAGAAAGTGATGAGGATTAGTGCTAAGGTAGTGGCAGAGAGCATGGAGAGAAGGGGACAGATGTAATATGGAAATAGAATCAACAGGAATTGGTAACAGACAAAATGGAAAGAATTACCTCTCCTAGTCAAAGACTCCAAGGGATAGGAAAACAAGAAAATATCCCCATTTTTTGTGTGACAATCAGCATTCTATTCTTAGTTTATTAATCTATTTATTTTTAGTTTTTAACATTCACTTCCACAAGATTTTGAGTTCCAAATTTTCTCCCCATGTCCCCCTTCCCCCACCCCAAGACAACTCGCATTCTGAGTACCCCTTCCCCTAATCTGTCCTTCCTTCTATCACCCCCCCCTTCTTTTATCCCCTTCCCCTTCTATTTTCCCGTAGGGCAGGACAGATTTCTATACCCCATTGCCTGTATATCTTATTTCCCAGTTGCATGTGAAAACAATTTTTAACATTTGTTTTTAAAACTTTGGGTTCCAAATTTTCTCCCTTCCTCCTTCTCCACCTACCCTCATTGAGAAGGCAAGCAACTCAATACAGGTTATACATGTGCAGTGATACAGAACACCTCCACAGCAGTCATGTGAAAAACTATATTCCCCTTCATCCTATCCTGCCCTCCCCTTCCCCGCATTTATTCTATTCTCTCTTTTAACCCTGTCCCTGATTACCTGATTACCCCCTCCCCCAATCTGCCTTCTCTTCTATCATCCCCCTGCTCTCTTATCCCCTTCCTCCCTGTTTTCCTCTAGAGGAAGATGGATTTCCATACCCAATTGAGTGTGTATGTTATTCCCTCCTTAAATCAAATCCAATGAGAATAAGATTCACTAGTTTCCTCTCACCAGCATTCTATTCTGTTACTGCTTCCCCAACTACCTACGTTCTTACCTGGTCTCTCTTATTTCCCCTTTTTCCCCAGGATTATATACATCATGGACCAGGGCTGATTGAGCTTCATCACTAAACTTATAGAAGTAGACAAATGAATCCTAGTTGAAGACATCACCCAGCCTAATTTGAAGAAGTTCTTCAGTTTTATGGAGGCATAGGACTTCATCTGCCAGAACCCAGGGCAGTCTTTCTCTCACTGAAACTAAGGGGCCTCTTACTGTTCCCTGACCATCTTTTGGCTCCATCTCTCCCCACAAAGTCAACTTTTGTGCCAGGCATCTGGCCCGTCCCCCAGACTCACCCACTTGTACCTATAATTTTATACATTCAAATTCACCAAAATCTGACTGCCTCAGTGCTTATTTATAGATATATTCACGTATGGTTGATGTGGTGAGTATGTCTCACCATTTGCATTTATGTGTATACACAGCATGTGGACTGCACAGGGACACTTTTTTTTAAAGGCAATTGGGGTTAAGTGACTTGCCCAGGGTCACACAGCTAGTAAGTGTCAAGTATTTGGTCTGAGGCCAGATTTGAACTCAGGTCCTCCTGACTTCAGGGCCGGTGCTGTATCCACTGTGCCACCTAGCTGCCCCCCCCTTTTTTTCCAGCCAAAGACAAGGTTTACTAGAACATCCGTGATATTGGGCAGATTCTTAAAGAATCTGAACATCAGTGAGCTATTGGCTAGCATATAAGAATTGAAGTAGTGGCTAGATTACAAGAATCTGAACGCACAGGGACACATTCTTGCATGTGTGTGTGCTATCCCCACCACACCTGTGAGGGTGCATTATCTCTGCTCTGCCTGCCCCTACCATAGCGTACAGGTTTTACCAGAAAACATCTTCCTATGTATATGATCCTAAGATATGCTTCTTTGAAAATGTGCCAAGGTTGACACCTGGAGCCTCCCCCCTTTGCCCCTACCACCCACACTCAACCCCACCTTCTAACAGCCATGCCTCTGACACGAATTCTCCAGCCCCGACCACATTCCTCTCCATAGAAAACTTCTGTTTGTCTATGTATGGAGGCAGAGAATTTAAATATAGCACAAACAGAGGCTCCTTGATAAAGTTAACTTTTCCTAAACCCAGCTTGAGGCACAACTCTGACTGGAAGAGTAGAAAGGAAGCACTTTAGGATTATCTGCATCAGGAGAGACTTCAGAGATTTTTAAAGTGTTTCCCCATCTGCCATGAAGGACATGGGGGAAGAGGAAGGTGCAATTCAGGCTCTCTCTGGGGTTCACAATAAGAGCTCAGACACAGAGAAATTCTTTCGCCAAGTCAAACTCTCTCAACATCTTAAAACTTTTTGCCCCTGATTTTCTACTTAACATTCTTCCCCTTTTGCCTTCCTACTCCACCGAGAACAACACACTCAGTTTGTCCCTGATACTACATTCCTTATTGTAGGTTGAGGAATATATAAGTTCTATTGAACTAAGTAATTTGAGGGATTTTGTTCAGTTGTTTCAGTCCTGTCCAAATAACTCTTCATGATCCCATTTTTGGGTTTTCTTGGCAAAGATATTGGAGTGTTTTGCCATTTCCTTCTCCAACTCATTTTATAGATGAGGAAACTGAGGCAAACACGGTGAAGTGATTTGCCCAGAGTCACACAGGTAGTAAGTGTTTAAGGCTGAATTTGAACTCAGGTCTTTCTGACTCTAGGTCCATTACTCCATCTACTGTGACACCAGCTGCCCAAGTATTTTGAGGAATACATAAGCTCTGTTCCTCAAACTCAGATACAAAACTACTTCATAATAATCTGGCAATTTCTATGGCATTTACCCATATGCCCAACTTTTTATAATTGCCACAATGGCCCTGACCTTAAATCCCAGTGTTTATGCTGTCAGACTCTTTTCTCTGACTTTGACCATAGCTCCGTCTTCTACCCCTCCTTCTAATCAGAGCCCTTTTCTTGTTCAAGTTATTTCCTGGTCTTCAACAAGGATAGGCCTTGTAATTCACTGGGGGTGGGAGTGGGGGAGGATAAAAAGATAAAATACCCCAAATCCTGAACGTTAGTTAGCTACTCAGACCCTGTTCTCTACCATGTTCTCTGACCTTGTTGTCTTCCCAACACACTCTCTATTGTCCCCCGATCTCCAGGTCAGCCCTTGGGCAATGTCTCCAAGCTCAAACCCCAGCCACCCTCCCCAAATGAAAACTGCCCCTGAGATTCCAGGAGTTCCTTTCTGCACTCAAGACCTGCTGGCAAATATGCCCCATCCAAAGGCCTGTGGGAATATTCCCCTTTGTACCCACTCCAAAGTCACTAGGGCCAATACTTCCCTCAGGACCAACCCTAAAGTGGTAGGAGCAGGGTGGGGGTAGGGATGGGATCCTGGGCCAGAGCCCTCACTGGAACCAGTTACCTTCATCCTCTGGTGGGCCTCAGCAGCAGTGACCACGCTGTGACCTCGGTGCTTGCCCAGAGAGGCGCACACTCCACATATCAGTGCCCGGTCCTGCTCACAGTAGACACTCAGGGGGTCTAGATGTTCCTCACAATGGCCCTGCGGCACCTGACCCAGGCTCTCCACTAACCGTGCCAGCTGTTGGTTGGTACTGAGCCCATCGGGTTTTGTGGGTGCCTGGCAGGAAGGACAGAGCACAGTCCCGGCCTGAGGATCAGGAACCAGGCGAAGCAGACAATTGCGGCAAAAGCTGTGGCCGCACTCAGCTGTGATGGGTGCATCAAAGAGCTTGAGGCAGAGCGGGCAGGACAGATCTTGGTACATGCCCTGCATCAGGGCAGGAGCACCTGACATGATGGGACCTGGGGGCAGGTAAAGAAGGAAAGGGTCAGAGGTGCTTCTTGAGGTACCCACCAGCATTTCTTGAGTACCCAGTTAAGACCCAAGCATCCTTATCTCCCAGTTCAGACCCAGACAACCCCATCTCATCCCCTCTCCCTTCTAATCAGTGGATAAAACACTGGGTCTAGATCCAGGAAGAACTGAGTTCAAATCTGTAGACAGAGCAAGTCACTTAAATTTTTTTTTTAGGCAATTGGGGTTAAGTGACTTGCCCAAGGTCACACAGCTAGTAAGTGTCAAGTGTTTGCTCTGAGGCCGGATTTGCGCTCAGGTCCTCCTGACTTCAGGGCCGGTGCTCTATCCACTGCACCACCTAGCTGCCCCATCACTTAACTTCTTCCTCAGTTTCCTCAACTGTAAAATGGGGATAATAATAACACCAACCTCCTAGAGCTGTTGTGAGGATCAAATGAGATATTTGTAAAGCACCTAGCAC